CAAATATCAAGAAACAAAGAATTGAACAATATTACAAGAGTGATACATTCCATACATTGTGTTCAGTTGAGATATCTTGAAGAAAAAAAAAATTAGACTACACGCATTTTGTATGTTTTAATTCCATCAAACATCGCTTGTAATAGTATGATTATAAAGCTAGCTATTAAACATCTAAATCATGTGAAGGGATGTGAGTGTCTTAGACATCCATACAGGCTATTAACCTTCCAGGTACTATCACTCCGGCCCCATATATTTCACTACCATAGCAATACGGTGAAATGCCATGAAAGTGACTTCAAGTTCCACCTCATTTTCCCTAAAGTAAGCCAAGACCCTCTCTCTGGGCATTCCTTCACCTACACAGTCAACTACCACAACATTAAAGAAACCTTACATGTCTCCTAATTTTTTTTTAATATCATTAGTTTTCTCCCCTTATTTTCATAAGGAAGGCAGCGGTGGAATCTAGTTTCTTCATGAGAATTTTCATATTTGAATTTCCTATATATTTCTGAGGCGCCCAAGGTTGTTTCAACTTTATAGAATCACAGTGGTCGGAAGGGCTGCAAAGTACGTAACACCTAACACTAATGGGTTCTAAGAAGTGTATTCATTTTATCTCGCAATTCTCATCCTCAACTTTCGTTACTCTTGTCATTTTTAGCTTTCGTTTTCTATGCAGACTCTTGGTGCACCATTGATCATCCTTCCGTAAATCCCTTTTCTTGACCATATTTATTATTTTCCACTTTCTAAAAAATCTCCCTATGTTGTTTATGATGTCTATTAAAGGAGGAGTTTGCAATTTGTTTTCTTTTTTTGCTTGAATGTAAGAGATCTTCTTTCGTAAACAAATTTATAGATTTCTCAGGTCAAATAATTTTTATTACATATAACACACTCCTTTACTAACTTACCATAATTACATGAAACATTAGGATTCTTGTCACGAATGTTGTCCTTCTTTTCGCTTCAATTCATAGATTGTTCCTGTTTTGATTTATTCCTAAATTTTTTTTCTCTACAATTGGTTCTTCCTTTTGTGCATTAGCTTCCTGCCATTCATGTCCTTTCACATTTCAACTCTTATGGATTGGCCTCCTCCAGAGACATGTTTGATATTTTTTCTAATAGATATATTATGGGTTCCCTCTTCGGGTTATTTATCATTCCTGCCCTATTTTGAAAGTCCATCTACTTTTAAGAGAGATTAGGCTTTTCATCCTCCTCCCTCCTTGTTTGACCTTGATCCACAATCTTGTGTTCCTTGATTTAGACACTCTATATTCTTCATCATGTATTACTTGATTGTCAAACCTTGCATCAACCCTACAACTCCATAATGGTAACAGGCACAGGTCAACCGTACGTTCATATCGAATATCAACCCAAAAAATATCTTCCTTCCTATTCACTATATTTTTTTCCCACTCTTAAGTGGTGTTGACATCTTTTATAACCACCCATTGAAGCTTAGAACTTCAAACAAAAGCATCCACACACAACTAACTACTTTTTATTCCCATTTGTTTGTTCAAGAGTCTTGCAGTAGTCCCATCATTCCTGCCATATCTTGACCTTATAAGATCCTGGCATTTCTATATATGGTAGGGCTACCTCTAAAATCCCAAGCATTGCAACCCCTTCATCAAAGTAAAATAAGAATAGTTTGTTACTATCCTCACGGACTCGAAACTTCTCAGGGCTATTCTGTATATTTGCGAAGCAAAAAATATGTGTCATTTTAATTGATACACCTTATATCCTTTCACTGTTACAAGAAGTGGGATCCAGATCTTTAAAAAAAAAATTTCCCTACTTTTTCTTTCATGATTTATCTCTTTCTCTCTCACTTAAAATGACACACAATTTTGTGTCGATACACATTTTTTCCATTTGCCAATGGGTTTTGTAGGCTAATCTTGTTAATTGACTTATCTATGATTATTTTTCTAATCAAGTTACACTCTCCCTCCAGTTGCTTCGGGAACATCGTCATTGTTAAAAATTATTAGATTTTCTTCGTCAATTAGCCCAATTGAAATAACTCACTTTCACCTGTGAGGATTCGTAACGGGAATGGAGCTCGCTTGGAAAATAATGGGTTACAAAAAAGTCTGGATTGAAGGAGATTCCCTTCTTGCAATCAATTTGATTTCAAAGAGTTGTAATCAGCGACACCCATTTTTCTTATTAGTGAACTGTGTTCGTTCCTCTTCTTAATCAAGCTTGGATTGTCCATCTTTCCCATATCTATAGAGAAGGGGATATTTTTACTGATTGGTTAGCTTCTTATGCCGACCAACATGACTAGAGGCTTCATGAATTTTTGTCTCCACCAACAGGGGGCATGGCCTATTTTCGAAATGATGGAATGGGAGATGCTCTACCGATGCAGTTTTTTGTTGCCCTTGATGTTTTTTTTTAAAATAAAATAAAATCCACCTCACGCATAAGTGGCAAACTTGAAATGGTTAAATGATAACGAACATGTAGGGTATATGCAGAAATTTGGTCATCTCCGAAACAGAATGGAATTCAACAATTATTATATTTCATGTATTTTATAAAAGTAATAAAAATATTATTTACTCCTATCAAATTGTTCAAAATTCTAAGTGTGAGCGGATGAAGTCTCGTATTAGTTAAGAATGGACTAAGTGAACATCATATAAAAGAAAATATCATTGCACTTAATGTCTTAAGATTTTGAGTTTGATTGTAGTGTGTAAGCCAACAACCAAGCATTGATGAATTCCATAATACTAGAAGAAGTTTTTTTTGCAGGGGAAATAATGTGGGCTTGGGACATTCTAAGTGTGAGCGAGTGAAGTCTCATATTAGTTAAAACTGGACGGGAATAGATCCTCTCATGTGGTCATGTTATTTGATCACAATCACTCATTTAAAATTATACACTTTTGTCTCTCTTATCTCATCATCAATGAGTGACTGTGATCAAATAATATGACCACGTGACCAATTTTTCACATGAGAAGATCCACTCCCTATCTAACTACACTTAATATTGTTGCTCACTCTACCAGCCTATAGGAGATGATTAACTTACACACATTAAGTGTCAATCTAAATTTTTATTTTCTCACAAATTTTACATGTCATTATTAATTTAATTTAAAAAAAAATTCAAATACAAATTATTTTTAATATATATTCACTCAATTTAAAAGGACCCGTGTTATGCATGAGAATTCACTAATTCAAAATTGCATGATTTTTGACTTAATGACATAATATTCTCTTTTAATTACGAAATTATTAATTTCGTTTTTGATATTCTGGTGTTGTTAATATCTCACAATTGCATGCTTTTGATTTAATGGCATAATATTCTCTTTTAATTATTAAATCATTTATTGTGGATGGCATGATTTTGGCTTCAAGACATAATGTTCTCTGTTAATTATTAAGATTCGCTTTTAATTTACTTTAATGGCATATTTTGACTTAATAACATGATATTGAAAACTAAAAATTTTCAATTTTTCTTTACATTTAAAATATAACAGAAAAAGTACAGGCTGTTCAATGAAAATTGCACCCGCATTAATCAATTCATCGTGTCTTCCCCAACCTAAATATTTTTCATTAAAAAAATCCTTCTTTAATTATTATCCTATACCAAACGGAATGTAACAATTATTTCATGTTTACTATGCCAAAATAATCAAGAATAATAATTTTAGTCTATTTTATATCATATTTTCACTAAAATAGTAAATACTACTTTTTTTCAAAGTTACGATAAAATAGAAAATGAGTTATAACTACGAGTCGTATAAGTAGTCAAACAATTACTCTTATAGTAATATATATAATAATTTAAATATCCTTATACAAGGAAAAAAAATGAGATTCCAATACCCTTTTGTGCGGTTACTAAACATTCGGCTATATTATTTTTCAGGTGAATATTTATCCTATTAATTATCAATTTTCTTTTGGCCACACTATCAATTGATTTACTCTAGAATCTTTATGAAAAGAATATAACAACCAATGCAAGGTCCCAATTTTTTTTTTTTAAGTTACATGTGCCGTAATATTTTGGAGCAAGAATGTCTGTATAAATAAGAGTATATTTATCTTTATTTAAATTAAATTTAAATTTACATATAATTTTATTTATTACTTTTAAAAAATAACTATCAATATTAAAATGTGGTATTCCATAGTGAGATTCTGACAGTAAAGCTTATACTTACTTAGATTAGCAAAAAAAAAAAAAAAGCTTATACTTACTTTTTGACTGGTCAATAACTAAAACAAAAGGTTGTGGGCCTTCTATCCGCTATAGTATATTCATTATTCAATTCCAAGTATCTAGCGAAGACAAATCTTTAGTTTGCTGCGTAGATCTTGGTCGCAAATACTGACAAAACTATTAGCTTTGTTACCTTACATTTCACGGAGTCAACCAAATTATGACATGTATGTGATTCACAAATTACAAAAATCTCCCTTTTGTTGCTAAAGCCCAACAAATAAATAAAAAGAATTTCGGAAGGTTTTTCCTTTTTTATTTTGTAGAAATTAGACGACACACAATTTTTGTTTTCCTCCAAATTCGTAAACAACACGGAAAAATAAAAAGAAATTCAATTTATATTTCATGAACTTTCCTATAAAATGAAAAGTTTACACATAAAAAACAAATTAGCGTTTCTATCCAAATATCAAATTCACATACTATAGCCACTTTGACATTCTGTGCCTAAACAACACCTTGTTTTATCAAAATTTCCTCTCTAATCCACATCTACGCAGCAATTGCAGCTGTTTCTATAAATGGATTATAAACAACTAGCAACACCTCATCTTCATGCAATAAGCATGAGGTTGCTTAAATTTCTATCTTATTCATCCAAAAACACACACTCGCATTGAGTGTGTCACCAATGGCTTGCAAGACCACACTAAAGTCTCATTCAACCAAACCAAGTTAACTTTGGTGAAGGAAATAAATTCAAATTTCATGGCTTGAAAGTCCCATCAGAAGCTCCATCTGATTTGATCTTCTTAATATTTCGACTATTATGGGAAGAATTTGTACATGATCCAACCATTACTTCATCACTTCTAGAGCTCAAGCATGCAGCATCCAACACCCCAACAGGGCTTTGGGGTACAAATCGTGCTAAGGTGCTTTGCAAATTACCAGAAACTTTGATCAAGTTCAAATCTCTTATCAGTTCAAGACACTTCAAAATTCTCTCCTGCAAAATGAAAACCCATAACTCAATAAATAGAACAACTTAACAAAGGGAAGATTGTATTAAACACCATTAGTACTTAAGAGGAAACCACCATATTACCTTCTTTACAATGGCCAAACAATTTAAGGCCTTATCAGTCTCTCCTGCTTGCAATTCCCTTGAAACAGAAATTGCCACTGCTGCAGCAATTTCAGAAGGCCTAAATTCCAAGAAATCAATACCTGCAATGATTTCCCAACAAGCACCTTGTTATTACTCAAGAACATAACATAAAAGACTAAACATGTTAATGGGGGTAAAGAGAATACATCTAATTATGTTAAGCACGAGCTCTACTGATCTTAAAATGAATGACTTTGCTGGATGCTGCTCACAAGTGATCTTGCTAAGGAAGTAGTCTAGGAAGGAAAATGGAGTTAAAGCTTGCATTTTCCATCCCAATGTGTTTAATACATGTAGTTCCATTCTCTTAATGGTTTTAGCTTCGAATACAAAATTTGGTTCTCCAACCTACCAATTAATAAGATAAGTGAGAAAATTAGAGGGAGATATATGTAACAAAAGTATATTGAACCGGACTTTGTTGCCCATGTGGTTCTACTCGACTCGAATCAGACTAGTCGAGTAATTGAGGAACCAATGGATAATATGAAGAAAATAAAAGTATATTGAACAATCCTAGAAAGTTATATACCTCAAAATCTACAGCTTCCTGAAAATCTACAGCTTTAGGCACTTTCCACTCCTCCACTTTAGCAGCAATTAACAAACATGCTACAGCTAACAATTGCATACTCCAACCTATGTCTTTCTATACCAAGAGAAAAGGCCAACAAAACAAATTAGAGTATCAAAAAGAGATAAAAACATAAACCTGGTAAAACACCAGTAGGCTTTTAGTGCTTGATCTTACCTTTTGCAATTCATATACTGATATGAACCGATCCAAGTAGTTCACAGCTAGAAAAAAGCTACAGGGTCCAAAACCAAAATATTCATGAGCCTGTTGATCACATTACGAAATGTAAAGGTCACTAACGGAATTATCCAATCAAAACCAAGATACAGTCTTTGATCCTACAATTTCAACCAGTAATGAGGGGAAAATGTGTTCAAAATCCGAATATAGAATGGGAAGAACAGAGATGATATATATATATATATATACATATATATATATATATATATACATATATATATGGAAATCTGAAATGAATTGGTAACGTCAACTAGTGGGTGCAAATGCAGTCAAGGAATTGACTCTATACCCCTCTTTCCATAACCAATTTCGAAATTCATAAAAACAAAAGAAAACACACAAAATTCACTGCAAAAGTCAATTGAAACCCAATAAGAAAGCCAAAGATTGTAAAGAATTTGATATTGGAAAGAAAAAAGTTAATCTTTTCGATAACTAAAATTCAATTAAATCTACTTGAATCACCAAGGCAAGAATCCATATAAATTAGCCAAAAGAAAAAATCTTTAAAGGGAATTCATTTTTCTTTTTCATTGAATGAATTGGTTCAAAGAAAATCTCCATGAATCAAACAAGCAAAAATCAACAACCCCATTTGAGAAAATCAATCAACCAACCTTCCAAATCCAATCAACAGCATCCCTCCGAACACTCAAGTTCAAGTCCCCATTACGCAGCCTCTTCAGGTAATCATCTCGGGGCAAATGTTCTCTCTCCCTCTCAACCAAAAGCTCAACAGTTTCATCACTCGGTACGAGAAAACCCACCATAGGTTCCGATCCAAGGTTGTCATTACTCAGACATTGATTGTTAAAGTTAACATTTTTGTGGTCCCAGTAAGGAGACCCATCTGCGGCACTGCATTCCAAATCATCAAAGCATATGTTTTCGTTTTCCAGACACAGAAGGCTTGAGGTTGCAGGGTCAATGCTCTCTTCCATTGGGAGAAATCAAAATGGTATGAAAGCCCAACGGAACCTTATAAAATAAATTTGTGTTTCAATGAATGGATTAAAAGAAGAAAACTTTATGGAGCATTTTGTAAATAGAAAAAAAAAAAAAAAAAAAAAAAAAAAAAAAAAAAAAAAAAAAAACCATTGGGCAAAACAGTGTATAGACTGATAGGTGTGAGTAACGTGGAGTGAAGATAGTAAGAAGAGAGTGGGAAAACGGCTGAGGTTTATGTAGGCAACTTGACATGTGGCTATAGGGTAAAAGGGTTAAAAAAAATTGAAATCCCTGCCCACAACAATGCAAGAAAATAATAGAAACATTGAACAAACCTTTGTTTTTGTACGGCCAATACGGATATTCAATTCAGGTTAATAGATCTTTTCTCAATTTAACATGATCATGTTAGGAAGTTTCTCAATTATTTATTGATAAATCAAGGGTTATTTAAACTCCTAGTTTTAAATTATTGTTATCATAATACACAAGAGAGAAAAAATCTGATCATTTATTTATAGATCAATAGTTGAAATCTTTCACTCAACATGATGGGTTTTTGAACAAAAAAATGCAAATTTCAAAAAGTCCACCTGTTTAGTTCGTTGACCAAATGTTTTACCGTACTAATGCAAAAAGATGTGTTTTAGGTGGTTACGCGTTTAGTCGCGCACCTGACACATGCACGTTTCTGACAAATCTGAACACGTCTGTACCAGGTACGTGTCTGAACACGTCTGTACTAGGTGCGTGTTTCTGACAAATCTGACGAGCACAATACCATGATGCGTCATATTCAGGCACGCATTCCGTGTCATAGTCAGAAACGTGCACCTGGTACAGACGTGTTTAGACACGTACCTGGTACATACGTTTTCAGATTTGTCAGAAACACGCATGTGTCAGATGCGCGACTAAACGCATAACCACCTTAAACGCGTCTTCCTGCATTAGTCCGGTAAAACGTTTGGTCAACTAACTAAACAGGTGAATTTTTTTAAAATTTGCATTTCTTACGTCAAAACCCCCGACATGATCATATTAAATGAAAACCCGTATAAACAAAGAAGAATCCAATTTGTTTAAAATCGATAATTTTTGCATATTTATCTAATTTATTAATTTTAACTGAATTGGGCTAAACGATATGTGTATGTTCAATGAAATTAACCATGAAATCATTATGGTAAAGAAATTTAAGGAAGCACTCGATGGATTGATTAAAAAATCAAATTTTAATCAAATTTATGACCATAAAGTATGGTTCATGTTTTTTTAAGAAAGTTGACTTTTATTTTTGGTAAGTTAGTTGACTTCTTTTGATTATTGAGATTTGAAATATGATTTGAGTTTGATTGATTATCAATGGTATGTTTTGCAAATTATCAGGGCTAATTCTATTTTAAATATTTCCTCAATTTATGTTTGTTTAATGATAATTTATTTTCTTTTTAGGAGCGCGTTATGTCGTTGTAATTAGTTATATTTTAAACTTTCTTATTTGACTCGTGATAAGAATTTGATTTTAATTAATTTGTAATTGATTTATTAAAAGACACGTCAATAAAAAGAGACATAGAAAAATTAGGTTTTATTGAATGAATTTGGAGAGATTTTCTTTCACTTGATTTTTGGTTGAACTAGATTTATGTGGACTATCTATAAAATGAGGTCTTAATAGTTAAGTCATGAGCTTAGTTGTGGGTACATAATTTAGGGATTTGATTCTTATTGCTTCTGTGCGTCCATGTTGAACTCAATTTGTGTGGGCTAACTACAAAATGAGGGCTTAAGCTCAATGAACAGAGAGTGGGGAGCCGAGAAGCATTTGTCGTTGCAGGAGGAAGACTTGAAAGAGAGGAGCATTAAGAAACATAAGGGAACAACAACAAAAAATGATGTCATATTATCACACAAAAAAATGATGTCATAGATGATACCATGCAAGAGAAAGAGCCACATGACGTCATATGCAAGAGAAAGTTTCTCGGGAAGGCATTATTGAAGAGTTTGTAAGTAAGACCAGGAGGAGTGCTTTGTAAGGAGACCATTTGAAGAAGAAGGTAGTATCCTACAAGGATAAACTCCTCTTCATTAATGGAAATGGAAACATCTCAGATAGTAAAGATGAGTATTGGTTCACATGCCAGAAAAGGGAAGATGAGGAGGAGGTCTTTGAATAAGAGGCTATACATGAAGAAAATGATCGTCTCTGCCCATCCTACCATTTCCTATAGCGGGTCACAAAGAAGAATGTAAGAAGTGGAGATCAATGTTCACTACTGAAAAAGTCGCGAATAACAAGGGAAATTTGCGAGGGAAAACTTCCCTTGCAAACTGCAACAGAATTTGCAAGGGAAAAACAATTGCGAGGGAAAATAGGCAAGATTTTCGTTACTACACCGTCGCAGAATCCCTTGCAGTTCGGTCGCAATTCCCTCGCAATTTGCAAGGGAAATTGAATCCCTCGCAAGAATCATAAGTCTGTGACGGAAACAGCGAGGGGAAAAATTGGCGACAGAAGTTCCCTCACAAAATTTAGGATCTGAAAATTGCAATTGAAAATTCACAATTTCCCTCACAAATTCCCTCCCAAATTGTGAGGGAATATATTCCCTCCCAAATTGAGAGGGAAAGAGAGAATATATTCCCTCACAAAATTCAAGAATAATATATAAATCAAATTTAAAAGGGACAAGGGCATAAATTGGTCGCCGCATCATGCGTATGACAAAAATCATTAAATATGTCGCCGCATCCTTTATGACAGACATTGAGTGCATGTAGTGACAGTAGTGCCTATGTCAGCTAGTCATAGGAAAGATAAGACTCTGTTGATATTTAAGGAATGTGTAAAAATTGTTCAATAGTGAGAAGCAGAGAAAAATGTCTGAAAGATTCCTGTTCCAACCACCCTCGTCGTCATCACTGTAAAAATTAAATGAAAAGTGACACATGCTTTCGATCGATGCTACCAAAAAGGGCATTGGTCTTTGTAGTTGGGCTTTAATGACTTAATTAAAAGTCAAGTTCAGCCCAATAAAAAAAGCTAGGGTTCCCAATTCAAGATGTTCAGCAGCCTTTTGAACGTGCGTGAATAGCATAAACCCTAAACCCTAACTTTGATCAATTCTAGGACTATGGTCCGCACTTTAGCCCCTTGTAAAAAAATTAGTCTTGAGGTCCCTAACTTTGAATGTGTGTAAGTAGCATTTTGATGATAAGAGAGTATGGAAATCAGTCACGAGTAAAGAAAAAAGGGAGATAACCATTTTAGAAAATACGCTAATTTAAGATAATAAAGAGAAATCTTTGATTATTCTTCGATATCTCCTTCATCTACCATCTGATCGTACTGCGATTTTTTTGACATATTCTTGACTCATTATTATTCATATCTAACGGTGGCTTTTATATTTATTTTTACCTTTGTATGATTATGATTCCTCATATTTAGTGTGAATATGAGGAATCATAACCATATATAGATGAAAATAAATATAACTGTTGGTTCAACATAATCGATCTAATTGATTGGTTTAGGGTCCAACTTGTGACTCCAACCCTCAGAGGAAAGGGGTCAGGGTTGACCCGGGTCATCTGGGGGGCTGGGTGGGGTTTTAAAACACTGCTTTATATAATGAGGAGGAAACAGAAACAGAAAACACATGAATATATTCTTAATTTCTATTTTCTCTTCATATGGCCCCATATTTTCATATTAGTATACGTGATAAAATTATGTTGTACAATGTGAATAATATTAACCTCACACACACACATATATAATTTTAAATTTTGGCGATCCTATGTTTACCAAAAAAAAAGTTGGCGAAATTTTTAAATTTAGAAATTTCATAGTCATTTGCGAGGGAAAATAGTTAAGTTTGAAGATTTCTTATAACCATTGTGAGTGTAAGACTCACATGATGAAATGATATTTTCTTTGATTTCTGCTACAGAATATTATGATTGTTCATTTTTATTTAACTATATTAGTATTTTTCTATTTCACTATAATTGTGAATTTAATTAATAAAATAATTTTTATTATTTAATTTTATATTTTTGATATTTATATTCTATTGAATATATATATATATATATATATATATATATATTCTTTTTTATAGTCTTTATTCTTATTATTTTTTAGTATTATTAATATTATATCCTATGTATTTTATTTTTTAATTTAATATTTTTTTTTGTTTAGGTATTGTGTAGAAATATTTTTGTTTAGGTGTTAGGTTAAAAAATCCCTCTCTTTTCCCTTTAGCTCTCGCTCTCACTTTCACTTTCACTGCATCCTCCCTCCAATTTTTCCTCTCCCACTCACGTTTGCCTCCAAATTTTCCCTCCCACTCACATTTCCCACTCACCTCATTGAGACTCTCACGGTATTGCTCAGGCGACGAGTGTCACAGTATGTACTCTCACGGTATTGCTCAGGCGAAGAGTGTCACGGAAGTTGAGAGGAGATTGCTAGGATGGGTCGACAATTTAGTGTACTGATATATTTCTTCTCTTTCGTCGTCGGGTAACTGGGTTTGGATAATGCTCTCAGAAGATTTGTCCTAGCAGAGGTATGCATTCCTGCCAGAGGTACAAAAAGGTGAAATTTCAATCCTCATATCTCAACACATTATCTTAAACTCTTTTCTTCTCCCATCTCTCTCTCTTTTAACTCTGCACAGGTAAGTTCTGAGTCCCACTGCTGCCCTTATTTTCATCTGTTGCTTTTTATTTTATTTATTTTTTCTCACTTTAGGGTTATATATATATATATATATATATATATATATATATATATATATATCTTCTTTTTCATTTTTTCTCTCCATATATATATATATATATATATATATATATATATATATATATATATTATTTCGTGCTTTTTCTGCTTCTACCTCTGTTTAGTAATTTTGTTTGCTTTTGTTTCTATTCCTTAATTAGGTTATTCGTTAATCTATAAGAGGTAGCTGGAGAA